AGAGGATCACCCTCACTCAGCCAACCATCTCCTGACCCAAAGAGTAAATTAGTGACTCACAGGGTTCGTTTTTAAGGATGCAAAAGATAAACACTTTAATAATATGATAACATGTTGTGGCACGATGTGTTCAGATGTTCAGATGTTTTTCTTTTTCAAGTGTCTTTTCTGTTTGAGGAAATAAAGTTAGGTACCTTTGCTTTAATATATTCTAGTTTTTATGCTATCTTTATCTTTATAATAATTTCTTTATAATCTTTATAACACAATAATTTATAATTCTGCTTTCAAATTACATCGTATTTTTACTTTGTGTAGTCTTTCAAAATGACAAATGCCGTTTTTCCACGGTCCGAGTACGGTACGTTTTGACTATACACGGCGCGCCATGGCCCAGTTCGCGTGCTTTTCCATCAAAAATAGACCCCCCTAGTATGCCTAAGCGTTGTCAGACAACGTCATTTACGTGTGACGCGTAACTAGTACTGGTGCGGTGCATGGATTTATTATAATACCAGAGCAAGTGTTTAATAGAAAATTCAGCACAGCACGAGTAGTTTTTGAAAAGGCTTATGTCTTAAAAGAATAACTCAGACACTGTGAAGTCAATGGCGCTGACTGCTCTGTACAATCTGAATGGGACATACCTGTAGCAACAGCAGCCTGTGTAGCAGAGGAGGAGGGCTGCATGTCCGAGGATACTGCTAGGCTAAAGCTAATGCTAGCGCTAGCTCGAGACTCTGCTCACTCACTAACCCTGGATTCCAAAGCTACTACAATACTACACTTAACACATCTATCACTACCCTCAGAGGAGGATCCAGGGTTTAAACTCGTCATATGGCGACTCGAGCAGTAAAGGACCGAGGGAGAGACAGCTGCAGCCATAGGGGTAGCGAGTTAGCGGCTAAGCTAGGCTAAGATAGGCTAGTCCGGACTCGGGTCCGGACTACAGCAGACTCCGAGACCAGACAAACAATCGATACCCAAACCTCAGCTACAATAATAATAAATGAATGAAACACAGTCTTGATACAATCACAGATTTATTGAAAACAAAAGTAAAGTGCAAAACCAACAGTTTACAAAGTCGTATGTACGTATGTCAGAGACCAGGTCCAGACCAGGTCCAGACCAGGTCCAGACCAGGTCCAGACCAGGTCCAGATGAGAATACTCCGGTCACTCATTACTCGTTGGTAATCTCCACACTTATGGGAAGAGATTCTCATACAAATATACACACAACAACTTAAATACAAGCACAAAACAGAATGACAACACATGAATACTGCAGATAATACGAGATAAAGCACAGTAGCACAGGGAGGACGTTAGCTTAGCTGCTATCGATAGCTAAATGAAGCTAAATGAAGCTAAATGTAGCTTGCTCACTGTGTACAACAGACAATCGAGAATTTACACAGTAAACACATTTCAGTGAGAGCTTTAGGAGGTTCGTAGCTAACCAGTTATTTCAGGATTACCACAGACTAGTCACAAATCCAGAGCTGGGTAATCTCCCTGAAAACTGTGTTGAGCCTCGAGCTGCCTTTGAATTCTTTCTTTTGGCCTGAAGAGAGGAACGTGTGGACCTCTTCCACCGACCAGGACCAGCACTTTTGGGGCTTTCTGTGCAATTCCATTTCTCTGGAGTGAGGAGGACGTAATGTAGCCGAAGCAGAGCCGAGCAGAGCAGCCGGTTTTAAAGATGGCGGTTGAGTTGTTTTTCCCAAAGGGTCAGATGCCGCTTCCAGTGACGACACTCCGTGACGTCATGGCACGGGTAACATGGGGATGGAACCACGGCTGAGGCAGTACAGAAAAGTACTCAAATCTCCCATTCCATCCACTAGTGGAAAAGCAAAATAGGTGCGCCGTACCGTACCGAAATGAACTGAACTGACACTGTGGAAAAACGGCAAAAGTCTCAAGGGGAGCATTGGGTGATCAAGGACTTGGTCATATGGCATTGAAACGTGTGGTGACTTGCAGTTATTAAAAAAGACAGTGCAGCAGCAGTGAGTAGTCAAAAATATCATTGTCACTCACACTGCGGGCCTTCTCCAGGGCTTAATTTTAATCATCTATGTTTGTGGTTGTAATGTCAATACATGCAAAAGATCAAGTACTTTCGCAAGCCCCTCTGTCGCCCAGCCCAAAACCTGGGGTAACAATTATTGGACCTAACATTAAAATTGGTTGTGCACTGAAATCATTTTCTGTTAGTCCTATCATATAAAACCAAATGACTGGCTTAGTGTTTGAGAAGGTCTGCTGTTATTAAAAATACGGCTTAATTTTGTTTTCATTACTCGGGTTTGCTTATTTTAATTAGAGGACTAATCTGCAATTAGCCCTGAGGTCAACTATACTCTTAACAGAAAAAAAGACAATTGTATTGGAAGGAGTGAGAAAATGCTTGGACATGTATTTAATTAGAGAGTTAACCGGCAAATGTCAGCTCCTAAGTCGTCACATTAGAAAGATAAAATGGTTAAATGGCTGGCATGGAGGATTTATGTGTGTGGCTAAATGTAATGGAACTGCAATTAACAAGAAGGATAAACAAACTTGATCAATATGAACTGCTGCCGTAATTAATATATGACCAGAAAATCCGATCTCTATCAAAGGGCATATTTGTTACAATACTAAAGTAACAAGTTAGTACAATAAGATTGTGTTTCGGTTGTAAGAAAATGAATAAAGTCCAATATGTCAGACTGACATATATTATGGAGCTCCATCCCTAACTATAAAAAGAGTAAAGATATCAATAGATTGGCAGCCATTGAGTGATTTGCTATGATTGGTGAAAGCATTTATTTTCAGACTTCCTACTGCAAAATATGTAACTTCTCTCTTTGATGCGCCAGCTAACTCCTCAATCGTAATTCCGGCGATGGCACGGTGAGACGCAGATGTGTGATGGTGGAGCATGAATGATATAGGAGATTAGGGCTTGGACCAAATGCCTCTCTCTTTTCCTGCTACTGAGCAAGGCCAGTGGTGCGCTGAGGAGGAGGAGGAGGAGGGGCAGTGAAGAGTGGATGCCATCTGGAGCAGCCTGACAACAAACTTTGACTCATTTGTCCTGACCCTTCCGTAACAAGTTAGAAAAAAGTTGGATAGCCAATAGGTGTTCTGGTTTCACAACATACGGGCAATTTAGTAATAGTTAGGTCAGTGATTACAATTTTGCGAACAACTGTGGCTTTCCTTCATGTCAGAAGCAGTTTGGTTTATGCAGGTCTCATAGTTGGGCCACCATTTTGAATGCTAAACAGCTCCATAAAACACTACCATGACCAACTGTGAAGACTTGTGAGGGCAGAGAAGTCACTTACTTTGTGGCAATAGCTCATGGAGACTGTTGTAAATCAGCCAATATTTGGTGACTAAAGTGCTGTGGTGCAGAGATTTACACCTTGTGGACACAAGCTGTCGCTTCAGCTACATTAGCTTTAACTAATTGCTTACCTGAAATGATTTTGAGTAATAGGGCCTTTCACGCCATAAATCATGACATTGGGCTTCATTGGTGATGATCACAGAACATGTGGCTTTTGATATCTAAATGAAATTATGAAGAGGAGACAAGCCAGAACAAGATAGTTTCAATAATGTTTACTTTGCAGCTCTGTGTGCCGTCTTTGAATGTGTGGTTATTTCTGTCTTTTTTTATTAAACCTGTTAGCGTTTCTGATTAATGTATTGTCTTCGACTAACACTGTTGCAACACCAGATGCAATATGGGCAACAATTTATCCCCACTGTATAAGCGCAAATTATGTAGCCAATCAGAAACCATTTTCCCTAATGCTGAGGACCTTTGATAACCTACAATTCTAAAAAAGGATTAGCTGGACAATAATGGCTGCTGGTTGTGTCTGTGTCAGATAAGTGTGTCCGGAGGGTAAGTATGAGCTCAAATTGCAGCCAAACAATGACTTTAGAGCATGACCGCTGCTGACATTGTCTGACGGTTTGTAATCAATTCATTCACTGTGGATACCCAGCGCACCCTGCCCCACTTTAAAATGTGACTTCCAACTATAACAGCTTTATCAATCACTCTGAATCTCCATTGTTGCAAAAAAAGTCTGCCAGTTGGTAGATCACTTTTCTCCTTGAACCTGTACCTCAATCGTACTAAAAATAGCCACACTGAGCCTTCTGCTCATTAGCTGCATAGAAAATGCCCACAAGGATGACTTTGTGAAAAAACCTAAAACAGAGGAATTCAAAAGAGTGCAAGAAATAATAGATAATTCTAAGAAAAGATAAGATTGTCAAAGCGGCATCTGAATTACTTAGTTTAGATTTGATTTTTGGAGACTTGCATGATGAGCTTCCAGGAGATCGAGGATAAGTGGGACAGGAAGTTTTTTACACTGTATCCCATCTGATCTCTTTAGGTCTGCCAAAGCACCTATGAAAAACTGCCAATGAATAACAGTAAGAAAAAAAGAATTAAAGTAAGAAGAATGTGATAATTTTCTTGTGCTGTCTTTCAGACCATGTGACCACGTCAGGCCAGGACCATATCATTCATTAATGCTCTGGATCCCCATTACTGTCTGCGCGCACCTTTGAAAGACTCATTACTTGCATAATGGAATAGTGCTTAGAACAGTCAGACCTTTCCACACTGCGAATTAATCACCTACACGGACAAAAAGGGAATTCTCGCATTAAATATTGAGAAACTTCAAACTTTGGCCGTGTCCGACTTCCATTATAGTGCACAGTGAGGGAGGTGCTGATGAGACTGTGAGAGCTTGTATCTGATGGCCCGTGAGAGACAAAAGGAAAGAGCAGGGTGATTAAAGTGAGGGAACTAGTTTGCGGTTTAGATTTAAATTTTTATCAAAGTACAAGAAAGAGGAACACATAACATTTCACAGAATGGTATATAGCATCTGAAAAACAGTGTTCCAACAAAGAAATCCAATGTTTGCCCGTGGTTTCTCCGACCACCGGAACACACCCACTCTGTTAGTGTCTGTTAACATTTCCAATCAAATCCAAAAAAACTATTTTTGCTAATGATGTGTGAGTTTTATATTTGTCTTTATTGCTCTGTGTTTTAATTTTATCTCTGAACAACTTTGTTTTTATTTCTTCTGCCTCGTGACTTCAGATGGAAACTTGCATTGTTGCTATAAACTGGAATATTTACCCTGTATTAACAGATGTTAGATACAGTGCCTTGCGAAAGTATTCGGCCCCCTTGAACCTTTCAACATATTGCCACATTTCAGTCTTCAAACATAAAGATATACAATTTTAATTTTTTGTCATGAATCAACAACAAGTGGGACACAATCGTGAAGTGGAACGAAATTTATTGGATAATTTAAACTTTTAAAAAAAATAAAAAAACTGAAAAGTGGGGTGTGCAATATTATTCGGCCCCTTTACTTTCAGTGCAGCAAACTCAGTCCAGAAGTTCAGTTTGAATGATCCAATGTTGTCCTAAATGACTGATGATGATAAATAAAATGCACCAGTGTGTAATCAAGTCTCCATATAAATGCACCTGCTCTTTGATAGTCTCAGGGTTCTGTTTAAAGCGCAGAGAGAACCATGAAGACAAAGGAACACACCAGGCAGGTCCGAGATACTGTTGTGGAGAAGTTTAAAGCCGGATTTGGATACAAAAAGATTTACCAAGCTTTAAACATCTCAAGGAGCACTGTGCAAGCAATTATATTGAAATGGAAGGAGTATCAGACCACTGCAAATCTACCAAGACCCGGCCGTCCCTCCAAACTTTCATCTCAAACAAGGAGAAGACTGATCAGAGATGCAGCCAAGAGGCCCATGATCACTCTGAATGAACTGCAGATAACTACAGCTGAGGTGGGAGAGTCTGTCCATAGGACAACAATCAGTCGTGCACTGCACAAATCTGGCCTTTATGGAAGAGTGGCCATTTCTCAAAGATATCCATAAAAAGTCTGGTTTAAAGTTTGCCACAAGCCACCTGGGAGACACACCAAACATGTGGAAGAAGGTGCTCTGGTCAGATGAAACCAAAATCGAACTTTTTGGCCACAATGCAAAACGATATGTTTGGCGTAAAAGCAACACAGCTCATCACCCTGAACACACCATCCCCACCTCAGCTGTAGTTATCTGCAGTTCATCCAGAGTGATCATGGGCCTCTTGGCTGCATCTCTGATCAGTGTTCTCCTTGTTTGAGATGAAAGTTTAGAGGGACGGCCGGGTCTTGGTAGATTTGCAGTGGTCTGATACTCCTTCCATTTCAATATAATTGCTTGCACAGTGCTCCTTGAGATGTTTAAAGCTTGGGAAATCTTTTTGTATCCAAATCCGGCTTTAAACTTCTCCACAACAGTATCTCGGACCTGCCTGGTGTGTTCCTTTGTCTTCATGGTTCTCTCTGTGCTTTAAACAGAACCCTGAGACTATCAAAGAGCAGGTGCATTTATACGGAGACTTGATTACACACAGGTGCATTCTATTTATCATCATCAGTCATTTAGGACAATATTGGATCATTCAAAGATCCTCACTGAACTTCTGGAGTGAGTTTGCTGCACTGAAAGTAAAGGGGCCGAATAATATTGCACGCCCCACTTTTCAGTTTTTTATTTGTTAAAAAAGTTTAAATTATCCAACAAGTTTCATTCCACTTCACGATTGTGTCCCACTTGTTGTTGATTCATGACAAAAAATTAAATTGTTATATCTTTATGTTTGAAGCCTGAAATGTGGCGAAATGTTGAAAGGTTCAAGGGGGCCGAATACCTTCGCAAGGCACTGTAAATGTTAGATTAATGTGCACTGTCTCTATAAAATAAACATAGTTTTTTCTGAACAAGCTTCATATGACATTATTCCTTCAATCCATATGCTGAGGTCGTTAACTACTACATAGACACACATGCCCTGGGTCGGACAGATGGGAGCAAGGCTACTGATCTTAGCCATCAGCACCCTGACCACCACCAATCATTCATGCATACACAAAAACAAGATCCATTCTAGGCCTGTGGGTTGCCAAAGGACACATATCAGCACTTAACAGCCACCCCACTGTCGTACCTGGTAATCTCACAGGTCTCCCAGCACAGTACTAACCAGGGCCTGTCCTTCTTAGCTTCTTAGATCTGGCGGAAAACTATGCTATACTTTACAAACACAATTCAATCTTGTGGTCTGTGGTGTCTAAGGTCACATAAAAGCAAAGCAAAAAGAGAACAGAAAGAGATGTACTTACAGTTGACTGTAACTTTTACTGTCTTGGTGTCTGGAGAGGCGATGTCATTTAGAGCACTGCATTCGTAGTCCCCGGCCTGGTCCCTTGTGATAGCCGTGATGTTAAGATATTCACCACTGTCATACTTCCTGGCTGGAAACAGAAAACCAAATATGAAGGAAACTACTTACAACCTGTCTTAGAAGAATACAAACACAGAAGACAAACAAGGCGAGCAGGAAGGCAGCGCAGGGATTTCCAAGCCCATTCACACAGCGTGGAAAAAGCCTTATTAATCCTACAGAGCTTTTATGTTAAGTCCTGACAGGAAGATGCAATGTGATTAGGTGTTTTGTGAAAACTTGTGATTGCCTTCCTTAGGGGAAGGGAAGATCCGCAGAGCAACAATTCATTTATAGTGACGCCAGGGCAGGAAATGAAATAATAGCACTGCTCCACTCTTTCATTTACTAAGCCCCACACTGAGCTGTTTGGAGCCGCGTTCTTCAACATATCCAACGGCTTGGTGAACATGTCAGTAGCTTTATAACCAGTCAACACAGAAAGTATAGCAGTCACTATCTGGCTTTTTACTTGGCTGAAATGTATTAGTGTTCCCACATTCCTCAAATGACATACTCAATGAAATACTGATACTGATACATTGTGATAATCTAAAAAAAATAAACTGGAATTTTAAAAAGAGGTATAACAGAAAAAGAGATTATATTTTTTTAATGATGCTATGAGGTTTTGTATTCGTTCGGAGATCAAAATCAGTGAAGACCTGCTTAGATAATCTTACATTTTATCTGGATATTTTTCAGTTAAGAAATTAGTATCTAGTTTTAATACTACTTTAAGCTTTGATTTTTAATATTTTTTACAACTCTTAAATATACTCTTAAAACGGTATAAAAGCAACGATATATTATGTCAGGACTCTTGTGTCTCTAAAGTCTCCCTAAAGGAACCAATAATATAATAATGGCCTATAATGTAATGTATGCGGCCATTTTCAAATGTAATAAAACCAGGAATGTAATAACTGGGGAGTGGGATATCATTATGTGCGTGTTATGGGGGAAAAATAAACTATGATGATGAAATAAAAAAAGCCAAAAATGTAATAACATAGCAACATGACTTTTTTCACATGTTACTTGATTTTGTTTGGTTGTAACAGTGTGTCCCAGGCAGTTGAATTGATGACAAAAGTTAGTTAGTAAAAAAAATAAAATAATCAGTCTGTGAATATTATCTGCTCTCATACTCTCCCCAATCCTTATTTTCTGTGTAATCAGAAGACTGGGAAAAAAGCCACTTGAGTCAAGACAAAAAACACAAAGCTCCTTAGTGTAAAACCTGATTTTATATTCAGATGCATGGTGAAATAATAAAGTGTACCATTATTATATTTTTGGAAATGGCCACATTTATTACAGTATTGGCTGCCATTATGTTACTGGCCATTACTGTTCCTACACTCTTTACATATGGGTTTAAAAACACATACAAATGTTATGAAAAATAATGCATCAGTTTTATATAACGCTTCTTTTGGAAACTCAAAGATGCTTAACATGGCATTATTCATTCAATCATACACAGGACCACCACCACCAACCATTCACACACACCAGACTCATACTCGGCATTTCAATTTTGATATTAAATCAAAATCATGACACCTCTACTAACCAGGCCTCAGAGGTCAGGTAGGAGTGACATAATGCTATTCCAGCCACATGGTCTGTTTAAAGCGACCACAACAAGCAGTGCTTGTCATTTATATTTTTGCTGACCAGAATTCACACCTGAGGTGAATCTATTCACAAAACACAGTGTGATGCAATTAAAACGTTTCTGGAAAGGGATCAACTCAAAGCAGTGTATGTATGTTTCTGGATGGTAGTAGAAACGTCCCATTCATATTAGGACAAATTATCATATCGGGAAACATATTTGTTTGTTTATGTATGCCATGAAAACATACAATACAGTTATGTAAAATAAATACTTCACTGCCATGGGGCAGTGAAGTATGGCTCCCCATGGCAAAAGTACTAAAACTTTTGCCATGGGGAGTTGCAGACCCCTCAATGTCCCACTTTAAGCATGTCTTGAATTAAATCTAAAACTAGATATGAGTACTGTTTATTTCAATTTGTATAACTTACTATTCTGCCACAATGCTGGTCTTCATCAACTCTCTACTACATCAAACGTGCCTAAACTGGCAGCTGTGTGGATAATGGGCTTTACGCTCTTCCAGCTCTGTTGTTACACCAACAAAAACGTTTTAGAGCCTTGGCGCAGATAGTGCAGGCCACACAAACAGGACAAGATGAGAATGGGTGATCAAGTTCTGATGCATAACTTTTGTTCTAAGCAAAAGAAGCATAACTATTAGAACAGAGGGTTTTAGAAATATCAAAATTAGGTATGCAGCAATGCATCAGCTGAACATTGGTATCGCCCGATGTTCACATTGTTAAATACCATCAGCCATTAGCAAAAATAATGACATTTGCCAATGGTAGGCGCATGTGAAGAGATACAGGGACATTTAAATACAGTCTGAAGTGTCAGCTATGCACGCAAAGCGGACATTTTTTATAAAATGCACTTAGAAATGGTGACTTCATCCAAATTATCCTCTGCTTTTGACCCATCCTGGAGCAGCGGTCGCTGTCGTGTAGCGCTAATGCTCGGCTTGGTCCGGACAATCAGGGTTGTCATGTTTTTAGTAGTAGGGGAAACCAGAGAAAAGCTATGCAGACACAGGGAGAGCAACATTCGAACCCAGGACCTTCTTGCAGAGAAACAAGAGTACTGTGCCACCATGCCGCCCAGTAATTTAGAGCATTTTTTAACTAATCATCATATGTGGTTTATATTGCTTGCATTTAACCTGGTTTATTGGTGCTATAGGCAAAAATGTCATCATTAATTATCTTTATGGCGACAAGAAGATCAGTGGGTGTATGATACTCACAAACATGATTTTAAGAGAACATTTTGTACCTGGTCATTTAATAAGTGGCTTGAACTGATAAAAGTGTGCATTGAAAAAAATAGCCCTATGACATATGCAATGAGATGGAACATTTTCTGATTGACTGAATAACTAGGTCTTGTGCTAAAGTTGGTCAGGGACATGGAACACTTGAGAAAAGACAGACACTGCATGTTCATTGAAATGCTTCATTTGAATGCACCAGGGAGTTAAAAAGCACACAGACGAAATCCCCACAAGATCTGTAAAGCTCGGTGAAGGGTGTGCTCACAACTAATTGGCAGTGCCAGTAACCCGCCTACAAAACAAAAGCAAAAACACAGTACAGTAGTGGGGTTTGACTGGCCAAACTGATGATGTAGAACATATTAAGATAATTCTGTGCATGCTGAAACCCTTTATTATCATTAAAAACGTAAACTGGTGTTTCTAAACCTTTGTGTGCTACAGAACATTGTGAATGTTTCTTGAGTCACATACCATGGTTGACCTTTACAGCTACATACAGTTCCAGATTAATTAGAAGTCAGTCAATGAGAGCTACTGCAAGGGAGTAAAGTAAAAAGCAGTAGTGACCCGTGAGACCATACTTGACTATTGGCTATATATTTGAAGCACATGTGATAGTTTCCTCAGCAAAGCACATAAACCTTTCAGTCACATATAAGATAATACAATACCTAATTTACTTCCCATAATGGGAAATGGTCACGTCAAGAAACAGTAATCAATGTCTTTCACACATTTTCATCTTTGATCAATTATGTATAATTTTTACCTTCTTAAGGGGAGATATAGTATTTATCATTCTGTTCTTATTATCAAAAATCATATGGTGAAACAAAGTAAGAAATTTCTGGTTCATAAGAAAGACTTAAAACATTGTCGGCAGATATTCCAAACCCACAGCTAAAACAATTTTGGTCGATTTAGCTGTCTTGGCTGAAAGAAGCCTCATTATCCTGCCGTGTAAACCGGGCTTTAGTAGATTATTGACCATTCAGAGCTGGAGATTGATTCAATAGTAAACCCATAAATTAAAATATGTAAAAAAGATCGGAATTCAGGTTGGAAATACAGGTAAGTATACATTTGAAACAATCACATTTACTGCTGCAAAAAAAATAATTGATTACTGACTGACCACACAAGAGATGTGAAAGATGCAATGGGGTCTTTCTGAAACCACCAGACACATTTCCATTTCACAAATCACATCAGACAGTGGCATCACTTGATAAATGAAGGCCATTTTCCCCTTTGCAGAAGCTGGTAGCATCAACAGCTTGGCTAGATGGCAAATTGTATTCTTATTGATTAGAGAGCAAAGGGGGCTTTGGAAAGGTCAGTGCAGTCATTAAACAACAATCACACCTTTGATATGTACTTTGAACAGAATTATATACTGAGCATAATAACATTACAGATATGCAATACAACGCCATGTACAAAGACTGAATTTCCTAAGCAGAGATCAAGCCGCACTAATCTTGTTATAGGCAATGCTCAACCACCAAAGGACCTCACAGAATTAAATGGGAGTACATGCTGTGATATTTGACTGACTGCAAAAAGAAAGCTCTTCCCACCTGAGGGAGACGCCACTTTGAGAAATTTAAAGAAATCATAGCAAGGTTAAATTGGTATTCGGCGCTGAAGCTGGCTAAGTGCCGTGGAGGTAAGCAATTTTACCACATTGTGTACCAGAGCTGTGTGTGCGCCTCCTTCAGGGCTGCAACACACAGATAGGGCAGGCAAAGCTCAAGCATCCATTATAGCGCAGAGCAGCATTTTTTACATCAATGTAGCCTTTTAACTGCTAAAAATGGAGCACCACCCGCTCTGGTGCATTGTGCGGGTTTTGCCTCCTGGCCCTGACTCAAGGCGTGGACCACAAATGGAGTAGAGCACCATGGCTTTGATATTTTCACCCTTATATTCAACGCTGTCAATCTGAGCCTCTAAAATTCAGCAAGTGGAACTTAGCCAGAGACTAATTTACTTTTCAAAGTACTTCAGTACATGCATTACTTACTGCTGTTAAAAAAAATATTAAGTTGAGAATTGTCGGAAGCAGAATACTTGTTCTCCACTTTCCTCGTCACCATGATAATAATCCATGGATGTTGTGCAA